TCTTCTAAACAAAAGTTTTCGGCACGAAATTTTAGGTATATGGGTATGACTAAATATCGAATATAGAGTAAATTAAAATCTGCACTTAATCTCTTTCGATTCGGTGATCGACATAACCTGTTACAGATTCAGTACGTGCTTAATTGTTTAAAAATTTTTTGAGACTTCCTTATGAGGCCTAAATACCGTATTTATCGGACGTGGTACCAGGGTACTTCTACACTATATTGAACAATATATATATAACATGCTTATGTACCCCGGGTTTAAAACTGGTAGAGGGTGGGTACCACGTCCGATAAATACGGTAATTCAGATGCACTACATAATTAAATTTAACTATGTAGCAGAAATTGAGCCGATACCTGCAACCTGGTAGCAGAACTCGTTCGCTAGTTACAAAAACAATCCTTTTGTGAAATCGACTTTTTAAAATGAGCCATCATATGAAAACTTTTTGTCACACAAATTTACATAATCAGACCATTATCATCAAGTACGTACTTTTGGTTTTATTTCTGCTAATTAGGCATCGGAATCGGACATATTTCTCTTTGTTTGCATCTCCATTAACGGTAATATATACGTCATTTGTACGCACTGAATATATTAAAAGAATTACATACGTACGTACGTACGTATTATATTTTCACCTGGGTTATTTTGGTTAATGATACGTACCGGTATAATATTGGTAAAAGTTACATTTTTGACAAATTACTTCAGAGCTTTCACCTACAAATGTTCTTTATTCGTTAATTCCAATAGCATTACTACTTATATCAAATGTTAGCGGAAATTATTTGACTAAAAAAATTTTTTTCCGGATTTTACCTATTTTATCTGACGAAAAAGTAAATTTTATAACGATATACGTATAATTAGGATATAAAAGTTGGTAGTACCTATTGTAAATATATAGATTATTAATTATCAAATAATGAAAATGATCTTATGACATTTTGACATATGACCATTGAGAAAAATGCGACATAGATTTGCGAATTACGGCAAATCACAACCGCATAATTTTACATATAAATTTTCAGTTACAATAAGTTTTAAGAAATACGTACACACAAATTCGATATTTCTTTATTTACAAACTTCTCAATACAGTATTTTATAGACTCTATTACATGTACTATATGTATTAACGCCAAATGATTCGAATATCTCATTTTTTACTGATACACTAGCGACAAATAGCGACATAGCTGCAAAAATCGTATGATATCGAGTTACACATGCCCTTGCGTGTTTTTACCACCATAGTCACATTTGTTACATTATTTTTCAATAACAAATAACTGTACAAAAATTCTAGATCCTTAAGATTATGAATCAAGAATACAATAACGAAAAATTTTTATCATTGATTATTTCATTGAGATACATCAAATATATAAAAAAAAAGGTATATAATTAAATCATATAAAAGACTTTTTTTTTATTCGAATTTTATTTTTTTTCTTAATTCATATCTATATATATATACTGTATATCTATATAAGAATTTTTTTCTATTCGAATTTTTTTTAATGACTCCTTATTTACCTCCAGAGTGTCTTCAAGAAATATTTATTAATCTTGTAGATGATATTCAAACTTTACATTCAATTATATTAGTTAATAAATTATGGTATGAAAATGGAATATCAATTTTATGGAGAAAACCATTTTCTTATGATAATGATTGGAATAATTTATATAAAATAATTCCTATATATTTATATTTTTTATCAAAAGAAACAAAAGATGAACTTGAAATTCATGAAATTTCTATACCAATTAAACCTTCTATTAATTATATATCATTTATTCGTGAATTAGATTTATATAATTTACTTATGCAATTATGTGAATGGATGGTAAAAAGCAGATTTGTAAGTACGATACCCCGAATTTTATCGGAGAATGATGATTTTAATGATGATGATGATCCTATTATGAGATTAATTTGTCATGATATAACTGAAAAAGTTTCTTTAAAACGTACAATGCATATTATTAAAGAAATTATTATTAGTATAGTTAATAATTCTATTAAGATTGATCACCTTGAAATTACTATGGGAAATATGGATGGTATCGTTTTTGATTATCTTGATTCGGAATATTTTTTTGATATATTTAATGAAGTTCCTTCTAATTGGTTTACAAAAATTTCAAAACTTGAATATGATGGTCAACATTTACTTAAAAAATTTCAAGAAAATGCTTATAATATTAATAGTTTATCTTTTGGTTTTCATACTTTTATACCTGATTTTATTCCTTCAATTTCTTCTTTAATCTCAACTCAGAATAATTTGGTGGATTTGGATTTATATTTAGGTTATAATGATAGTGAAATTATTATTTTTGAAATTATATTAACATTAACGACAAATTGTGTACATTCATTAAAATCATTATCATTGGCATCAGGTGGTAATGGTATAGTACAAAATGTTAAAGAATTAGAAATGTTATCAAGATGTAATCATTTAGAAAGATTACAATTACGAAATGTTGAATTCACAAATTACAACAATAATAATTTTTTATTTGAATTCTCAAACTTGACATCTTTAGAATTATTTGATGTTAGAATGGTTAGTCAAAATTCTGAAGAAGATCTCGTTAATTTAATTAAACAAATTATGAAAAATTCAAAATTAATTAGTTTAGATTTGGAACCTTTTATTGGTGATAAATATTGTAATTTAGTCGAATCTATTCCACATCATTGTTCTAATTTAACTGAATTAACTTTGAAGATAAATGATACTTATGAAAATACCATGGTAGCGATATTAACTATTTTACCACTTTTTAATAACCTTAGAATTCTTCGTATAACGGAAGATTGGGGTGGAATTCAATTAGATGGGGATATATATATTAATCAATTATCTTTAATATTACCCAACCAATTACAAATTTTTAATATTACTGGATTACTTTTTTCTGATGAACATTTGAATTTATTTTTGGAAAAATGTTGTTCTAATTTAAAACAAGTAGTTTTATTACTTAAATATTATGATGATAAACATGAACAAATTATCAAGTCATACTCATTAGAAAGAAATAAGGTCATTGAAGATATTTTTGTTTCTATTGATAGTAGGTCTGAGATTACTATTAATTGGAAATAATCTTATTCTTCTTAGTTTAATCTGTAATAATGTATTAGGGAAATATTTTTAAAATATTGTGGTGGTTCGAATTGAAATACTATAGTCTAATAAATATTTAACGAATTAAATGTACCAATACAAAATTATATAAATTTGATACTGTATATTTATTTGAATTTTAATAAATGTATGTTCCAGTAAAGCCTAGAAGAACGGAAGTACTATCCGAACTTTCGTTTTTCATTACACCAAAATGATTTAAATTCGGAAATTCGGACTTCTATTAAGACACCACGTGATGTACGTATGTACGATTTTGTTAATCAATTTCTATTTTCTAATCTCATTGTTTTTTGCTCTCAGCACTATTCCGTACATCCTGTACGTACTTGGTAATCTAAAATTACAAAATGATGAGAAATTCTGCAATGTAGAGAGGGCGGGCCGAATCTTAAAGGGGGATAGGCTTACCGGAAACGTTGTAAACTTGTTGCGGGGCAAAGCAAAGCGAGTGGCAAAATTCATTTTTTTTAGACCGTACAATGTATATAGAATATATATATATATATAAATAGAACTATATAACGTATCAAGAATATAATTATAAATTTGAATCTCATCTTTTCATCTATCACTATTACAGAATATTTTCAGGAAATGATTTTCAAAATCCTGACGAGTTTTTCAAATCGCTCAGGAAGCCACGCACGACCTTAGCTGAATAAATTCCTAAAATGATCAAACCCAATGAATAACATTTGTAATGAATTCTACAGTTTTTTCTTTTGATAATCTTCCGAGTTCAGACAAAATTTCGGTTAATGTTGGACGTTGATCGGGTTCAGAAGACCAGCATTTTTTGAAGAGGTCGGCGTAATCTAACACCATTTCATCCTTGCCTTTCTAGATGAAATGGATACTATATGTTCGTGTACGTCAATATGTACAGTACATATGTGCCTTTGAATATCTATTAATAGTAACACTAAGGATTTACTTAAAAAATAATTGACGCCTTGTTTGTTACACCTTACCATGCTTATAAAAAGATATTTCCGAAATTTCAACTACAATATAAAAATACTTTGTTTTAAAATAATGTCATCTTTCACTCAAATAATTTTTAAGAAATGAAATGTTTTGACATGTCGATCAAATTTTTAATTTTTCTCCCAATATTTGTCGCATTCATATATACACTCCCAATTCCACAACAATCATTGCCACCAATTGAACAACTAACTTTAAGTCCAAATGCACCATGTTATAATGTTAGTCAAAATTTTACTGCTAGTTGGAATAATGAGCTTAACGTTTCAGGTAATAATGATCAAATGTAGATTTGATTCAATGTTAATTTTGATTTTAATAAAATTATATATACCGATACGGTACCTTTTTTATAATTACAGATATGAATATCACATTAACGATAGTGGGAGTAACGTCTAATACAACCTACTACACTTTTACTGTTGTAAGTTTTTTGCAAGAATTTTTTGATTTATTGTCCGATTATTACTAATGATAACTAATGATAACTAATGTTAATTATTATTATTAAAATTTTTTTTTTAAAAAAAAAAGCCATGGTCGACACAATCAATAATTTTTTCAATAATATCATCAATGTCATCAGAAGCGCTTTGTAAAGCTTCACTTTCATATGCAAACAACCCCACTTTCCTGCTTGGTGTTACGCCTTTTTCCATTTGCAAAGCTTAATAATTCTTTCTTTGTTGTTTTTTTTTTTAATTACGAAAAAAAAAAAGCCTTAATGTAGTAATAATTTTTGTAAAATAAATGTGATTGATTTAATTTTCAACCCTAATTGATTGTTGACCGGAATAATTCCTTATTGGAATTAGTAGACTTTAACAAATTAAAAGAATTTCATACGTATCTGCATTAAATAACCAAATTCGATCATTGCAACCTAGTAAAGTTATCCTATACAATTTACACAAAAAATGCTTGTACGGTAAAAAATAGCTTAGATTGATTCTACTACATTTACACAAGAGACTTTATACAGTAAAAAGATAGATGACTGAGTATTCGATTCTGCTACATTTATACAAGAAAACTTATACAGTAAAAAATATAGTAAAAGCCCTCATTATATATACTACATATTACATAAGCCAATTTGTATAGTAAAAAGATAGCAGAGAAAAAGCTTTTGCAAGGTAGAGAGCTCATGAATTTCTATTCAGCTATTACAAGTCAAAGCCATAACCCACATAACCCTATTGAAAAATTGTCATATATATTTTTAGACTTGATTAACTCCCTAGCTCTTTCAATAGCATCTTCGGGAAATTTCATCTAAAACAATTTCATATAGCTTGTCATAGAAAACCTTATTAACATTTTTTGAATCATACTTGTTTGTTGTTTGATATATGTAGCTGCTGAAGCTTGGGAGGGACCAATCTTCCAGTCTTTTGTAGAAATAAGTATTTATCTATTTTAGTTATTATAAAATCATTTATAAAAATATAAAAAGTTTTATAAAAGGTTTTATAAAGTTTTTATGAAAGTTTTCATAAAAGTTTTTTTTATAAGTTTTTGTTTTTTTTAGATATATAAAATTAATAAGCATAAAGAAAACTTGGCTTTTATGTTTTGAAAAGTGAAAGAAGAAATTGTTTGCATATTTATTGTTATTACAAATTTATAGATATTTTTGTGACACTGTTATAATGCCATGACCTTCTTGTACCAATATGGCAAAGTAATATGGCATCTGGTGCAGGGACCTATAGTTGGGGTGTACACGAGATAAAAGTGGAGTGCACTAACAACTCTACTAGCAGGAGGCAATGGTTTGGTATGAGGTTAATATATGATTTAATACTTTATTTATTATAGGCCAAGGAGGATAACTTCACCTACTAGGATTACCCTAGAGGGAGTATATCACTTTATACAAGATAAGAATAGTAAGAAGGTAGGGCTAGATACTATAAGAGGGTAGAGAACTCTAACTTGAGCAGAAGGGGCAAAAACTCTCTTTTTATAATTTTTCTAAACATAAAAGGTGTAACAGTATAACTGCTAAACTATGTAGAGGTACTAAGAAGTACTCATATAGAGATACTGAGAAGTACCCATGTGGAGATACTAAAAGGTACTCATGTGAAGATACTAAGAGGTACATACTGAGAGGTACTAGTGTAAAGGTACTGAGAGGTACTCATGTGGAGATACTAAGAGGTACTCATGTAAAGGTACTGAGAAGTACTTGTATGAAGGTACTTGTGTAGAGATACTAAGAGGTACTCATACAATACTACTGTGCCTCATTTAACTAGTTAATAGAATTTCTATAACTAATACAATAATAAAGATAATAACTAATACTATACTAATAAATATAACTATATAATAATAACTAATACTAAATAAATATAACTAATATTGTATTAAACTATAATCTACACTATACTATGCTAATGTTATATTGTATTACAATCTGCTTTGTAATATTTTCCTTCCCTTAAGATTTTACTTCGTAAAATCCAAACTTATTATACTTCAACTATTTGTTTATAGAGAGTCATAATCCTCTTTGTTGTTACTACATGCAAAATTCTATTTTTGCTTATGTTTTTTTTACCTACTGTATAGTTTTACTTTTTAGAACAACCATGTGCAAAAATTTCAATTCAGTATTATTTCGCAGTACTTGGTATACTTGACAAAAATACTTGGCCTAGTATGTGTTTTAAACATTTTCTTTGTCTATTTTTTTTTAAATTCTGTAAGGTCCACCGAACTTCCATTTTTGTATATCTAAAATTAGATTCTATTTCTAATTTGCTTATTTTTGTCTAAATTTATAAATCACATTATTATTGTTTATAATTTTCTTTGTTCTGATTATGTGATAATTTTCTTTGTTCTGGGAAAATTATCTTTATTATTTTTAATTTTATTTATATTCGTGTTTTCTATATATGCTATTTCTCCAAATTTCATATACCAATTTTCTTTTCCTTGTATGGTCCTTTCTATTTTCCTTTCTATGTTTCTTTTATTAAAAACTTTCTTGTCTAATACTTTTTTCTTCTTTTTTTTAGCAATAGTTTTTGTAAAATTTTCTTGTCTTCCTGGTTTTTGCTTTTTGTTTTCTGTCAAAAAGTAGGTATACTTTTCGGACTATGTGCTAAACTTCATTTGCTTTACTTCTTTGGGGCAATTGCCGGCCTTCCATATCTGAGTGAGTTAACAGTCCTTTATGCTTGGAGATTGATTTTTTCATAACTTGCATAATTGATTATATGACCTCAATAGATATTTTCTCTTTATTATTTTCTCTTTCTTTTCTTTTTATACTTTTGTCTTTAAGTATAACTATCTTGGAAAAAGCATCCTTTTTCTAACTTTTTCTATATTAAACTAGATGCTACACATTGCATGTAGCCAGTCTGTCCCTTCAATAATCAGGGTTTGCAAAACCAGGTTGCAAACCTGCAAGCTCAAGTTTAGAAGCATGATCTGACTAAGCTGGTACGGCTAAATTACTAGCACGAAATGCAAATAGCAAGGTTATAAAAAGAGAGAAACAGACTTAGGGTACCATATATTGCTGAAAATAAGCCACCTCCAAAAATAAGCTACCCCCTTTTTTCTTGGAGAAGAAACATAGGAAAATTTGTAATTCTGAAAATAAACCACCCTGATAATTTTTTAAAATCCGGAAGTAGTTTCTATATATAAAAGTCAAAAATCTATTAAGTAAATCGATAAAAGTCACTTAATAGAAGTTGTTCAGGACATAAAAATACACATATTCTGAAAGTTTGAAACAAATTGGAGAACTTTTTACTAAGATGTTTTTGCATTTTACGTTCAAATGTAAAATGCAAAAACATCTTAGTAAAAAGTTCTTTGATTTGCTTCAAACCTTCAGGATATGTGTATTTTTATGTCCTAAACAACTCCTATTAAGTGACTTTTATCGATTTATTTAAATGAATTTTGACTTTTATATATAGCAACTACTTTCGGATTTTTAAAAAATAATAAAAATCAACCTTTTTGAAACTTTACCCGAAAATAAGCTACCCTATAATTTTTGTGTCACTTTTTTGGCCAAAAAAGATAGCTTATTTTCGGAAACCTATGGTAAGATAAGGTCATACCTTATTGTTCTTACAAATTTTATTTTAGTATAACTATAAATATTTTTAACGTTTAATATTACAATGTTCAAATCTCTAATTACTAACATTAGAAGTGCAATAAAAGTTTTATTAGTATTTTTGAGCAATAACAATATGATGGTGTATAATAATAAATCAAATATATTACTTAATTATTTACTATTGGGGATTTCACAATTAGGTTGACTTATATCAAGAAATTAAAAATACTAATAATAATTCTAAAATTGGTTTAACTTCAGCCCAAGACAAACATTTGTTTAATTGGCTGATGTAAATCAATTGCCTGGGTAGCTTATTTATAAAGTACTTTTGAGAATATAGCATTTCACTAACAAAAAATCACATTTTTAATTTCAAAAAAATATCTTGCAAAAATAATCAAAAATAATTAGTAACCCCAAGAACTTCACTTAAAAGTGACAAATTAACTCTAAATGCTGAAAATGGTCAACAAAAAAAAGAAAATTTAGATGTTATATAAGATCTAAATCTAAAGAACTTTATTATACTGTTTAATATGTTATTATAATGCTCTTATTTATGTATTCTGAATATTATAAACTATTTATAACTTCGGGTTAAGTAATATACAATATATAAATATTATTGTTTTATTAATAATATAAGCTAGATGTTGTGTTGTATCTCTAATAAATAGGGATGTTATAGTTTAGTCTGGTTCATAAAAAACTATTTATATATTTAGCTATTAATTTGTAGACCAAACCAGACCAAGGATTATAATTGAGACCATTATTTAACTAAGAGAGTTGTTACAAGATTTATGCACAATTTCAATTTAAAAATACAATATAGCTAATTGAGTTTATTGTAATTAACTTATAGAATATTACAAATAGGTTTTTAACTGAATTTGAACTTGAACTATATTTATTCAGAACCATATTTAACCAGGACTATAATTAACTAGAACTACTATCTAAACCAGATCTTTAATAGTTATTTTAAAAACTATAACATTTCTACTAATAAAGATCATAAAATGAAATAAAGTTAAATTACTTCGATTTTTTAAAGAATAGCAAATAAAAACAACATATTAAATATTTAATAAATTAAGTATTTAATATGTAATAAAATATTACATTATCTGTTTTCTAACTTAAAATTATCTAATTATATGAATGTTTGTTTATAATGGTTATATTATTATTACACAATAATGATCTACATTGTTTACATTTTTAACCAATCAAATCAAATAACGCTATGCTTATCTAAGGTCCCATTTCAGTAAACATATCCTAATTTGGAAGAAGTAAACTCTGCTGATCTTTTAGAGAGAGTATGCTAGTTTTTTTTACTTTTTGGCTAAAATTTCTAAAAAATTCCAAAATAGCAGAAATATAGTAAAAGATATATAGTTGTAAGTACTTTCAAGTTTTTCAAAGAGTGACTTAAAAAGCTTATTTGTTGTTTCCCTTCTATTATATTATCTATATTTGACTTTGTCAATGATATAGCCTCACTTTTATCAAAGTACTACTATTCTCAAAATTTTGTATGCAAAGGCATTTATTAGCCTATTATTTTGATTTTAATGCTTTTGGCTTGCATGCCAAATATGCAAAGGAGTTCTCCAAAGAGAAAGATTAACTTTTACAAGAACCGCTGCATAATGTCTTTTTCTTCTCCAACAAAATTTTTGTTTTTATTTAGTAAGAAATTTTGATACAAGTGATTATTGATGCAAGAAATTTTTTTTGCTATTGCACAGTAAGGGTGTGCTATTTATTATATAATAAAATCTTACTAATAGCCTACCTCATCTATCCATAGTGTGATTTTAATGCTGATTGGCTAGATTATATATATAATATATGTATAATATATATATAATATATATAATAACTTCAGTTGTAAGATCAGAAAGAAAAATAGACAATAAGGCAAAGCTTTATAACAGAGATATAAAATCATTGTAGTTTTTATTTAATTTTTACAAGCCTTGTACAGGTCATAATAGTACAACCCTTTTGTTTTTGTAAGTAGATTATAACTTTTGATCTCTTTTCTTTTGTTTTTTCTATCTTTTTTTTTATTTTTTTTGGTCATTAGTGTATATATTACTCCTATTACTTTTCCTTTTTTTTCATTTCTCCTTTCTATATTTGTTTTTTTTTGGTTTATTCATTGTATATGAATTATTGAATAGTCTTTTTACCAGGATCTAGGTAGAAAAAATTTAAAAAAAAGAGGCTAGTAGTTCCTGGCCAGCGATTTGTGAAATCAGAGTTTGATGTAGATTCTGATGAAGCAAGGAGGTTGCAATTACTCTTGGCAAGTTGCATATAGGTCCAAATGGAAACTGGATGAATTACACTTTAGTACAAAATGACATTAGTCATAATTAGATAATTACTTGTAATTTTGCTTGTTCAAAGTGCTCTTTCTATCTTTTCAAGTAATAAAGTAGTAGTATGACTTTCTGGAAAATATATATATATATATATATATAATTAGTGCTTGGATCCGGTTTATAAAATCTGGATATATCCGGATATAAAGAGGATAACAGATATTAGTTTGAAAAAGAGGATTACAAATCCGGATTGTTGCTTTTTAAATTTCAAATCTGGTTTTTATCCGGATATAATATTAAATTATCTGTATGTATTGTGTAATTGATCTATCTAATTAAATCGAACTATTATGTGCTATTCATTTCTACTGAGAAGGAGCTGCATAGTAGTTTAGTAACTCGTGAGAACCAAAAGGCTTGCTATAACGAATGAACGACACGTTAAGTGATTAATCCAATTTCTTTTCTAGTTAGTATGATAATCTAATTTTATAAATCTTTCCTCGAGTTCTGAGAGCGGCCCCAAAAATGCAAGTCATATAATCAGAATGGACAATCATATCTTAATAAACCTCATTTTGTTATATAATTTTTTTCACAACAATAATGCTGCATACAAAGCTAGACAATTTAACTATTTTCTAAAAAATTATGCAGTAGTTGTGGCACTTTTATGCGACCCACACTTTTGGGGCTAGTTCGAGTGGATTCTGATAATTATTGAATATTGCATTGCAGGCTATTATTGTTATTATAGAATTCAATGATTGCTATGCAGTATTCTGGAAACAATGGAAATTATTCCAAATTCAAGAAGATAAGAAATACTGCATTTATTTATAATTTTTTTTTTAAAAAAAAAAAATTTACACATATTTTTCTATCAGTTCAAATTAATAGATTTTTAATGCGTTAACTAGCTTAGATATGCCATATATACATGAGTGTCGCCAAAAGAAAATGTACCTATCTAATAGATTATTATGAATTTCATAATAATCTATTTTTAGATAGGTACGTTTTCTTTTGGCGACACTCATATGTAATACTTTTTTTTTTTCTATCAAGTCTAAATCAACAAAATTCAACGCATTCATTCACTTTAATGTTTTAGGTGTCTTTGATTTTTGACATTTTTGGTTTCAGAATGATGAATTCACCGAAAGTGTTTCAAAATACTTTAGTAAACGGTTTTAATCATAGTCCATAAATAAATAATTCTTTATATTATTATCACACCTTTCAAATTATATATAAAACTACACATATAATCAATTGCTTATTAGTTCATTGTAAAAGATATATACCTAAATTCGAACAATAGAAATAGTTTATTAGTAATTATGATCAAAAAATTTTTTCTTTGAATTTAGAATCCATTGTTTTATTCAATAGCTTTATTATTCTGCAATGTAAAACAATATATTGCAGAATAGAGCTAATGCTTTGTTATTAGTTCTATTTAAACTTTGAATATTCTCAAAAACTCTATTCAAATAAAGTTTTTCTTGTATATTTTGACAAAATAATAAGTACTAAAAAATGAAAATCCAAAGATCATACTGATTCCAATTCATTACCCAATTCTGATACTAATCCTGAGGATAGTGTTGTTTCCAGTGATGAATCGTTGAGCGAAGATAATATTAGCATGGATCTTAATAGTAATACAGATCATTCTAATGATAATGACACAGATCATTCTAATGAAAATAATGTTCTAAATCATTCTAATAAAAAATCTAATACTAAAACTAAATTGCGAAAGAACACCAGTTGGGTTTGGCAATATTTTCGCAGGAGACGTCCATCACGAAAATGGAAAACACGTACAAATTGTACTGTAATTGTAAAAAATAAAAAGTCACCAAATGGACGAGAATGTGGGCAGTTAGTTAAAACTCAGGGTTCAACAGGCAACTTTCAAGCACATTTAAATACGCATGGAATCACTAAACCTATCAAAACTATTGATACACCTGCGCAACCAACAATTACTGAAATGTTTCACCGTGCTGCTGGACAAAGTATTCGTCAAAAAGAATCTATTGATCGTGCCTTGGTAGAATGGATAGTTACAAATTTGCAACCTCTTTATGTCTTGAAAAGGGAAAGCTTTATTAAATTTATTCATGTATTGAATCTATATTATGAACTTCCATCTGATAAACATGTAAAAACATTAATCCATCAAAATTATAATTATTCAGTAGAATGTCTTAAAACTCTCTTTGCAACAGAAGTTAAAATGTATGGATTGATATGCGATTTATGAACTGCACGTTCTAAAAGTGGATATATAGGAGTTATATATCATTTTGTTAATTCTAATTATGAATTAAAAGAAGTTATACTTGCAATTAAATATATTCCATATCCTCATGATGCTGCAAGTATTAAAGCTGAATTAGAAAAGATAATTAAGTACTAGGGGCTTTCTAAAAAAGTAACTTCAATTACCACTAATAATGCCGCTAACATGATTAAGGCTGTTAATTTAATGGAACATGTGGAAAGGATTCCTTGTATAGCCCATACACTTCAGCTCACTATTGGTAAAGGGTTAAAACCTGCGGAAGTTTTGATAAAGCGTACAAAAAGATTAATTAATTTTTTGGTTACGCCCAAACAAAATAAGCAATTACGAAAAGTACAAGAATTGTTAAAAATTTCAAAGGAAAAAATTGATAGTGATGAAAAAGAATTTCTTAGTGCAATATCTGATACTCCCACTCGCTAGAATTCTTCATATTTTGCATGGAAAAGACTTCTTCAACTTAAATGTGCTATTATATTAATGGATGCAACTATGAGTGCTAATAATGATTATAATATTCGCAAAGATGCAATCTGTTTAAAGTCCTTAATGATCACAGAAGAAGAATAGAAAATTCTTGAGGAATTGACTATGCTTTTGGCCCCTTTTGCTGAAATTACAGAATTGCTTGGCAGTAGTAATTATTCCACGCTTAGCTTTATATGGCTAGCTATTATTACTTTTACTAGAAATTGTGAACCATTGTCAACAAGTATAAATGAAGAAGAACTTGATTTAATAAATATGGTAACTGTATTTGAAGAAGAGGAAGAGAATATAGTTGATTTGGATAAAGAATTAGAAATAATTGTTACAGCTAATGGAGATAAGTTCAAAATTAATCAACCTCAAAATGTGGATAATCTAGCAGAAAAAGTAAAGGAAAATTTATATAAAGCATTAAACCATTATTGGGATGCACCTCTTGATAGTTCTTTAATTGCAATGTTACTTGATCCACATTGTAAATCAATGAAAAAATTGGATAGTTGGGAGCGTAATAAGGCCATTAATGTTCTGCGAGATGAATACAATTCACTTAACACTGAGAATGAAACTGTTATTGACTTAGCAAATGTAGATCAAAATGAGAATCAGATGAATCTTTTTTTGATAATGTTTGGGTCAGATGCAATACAAACATCAAATAAAAATGAAATAGACAAATATCTTAAAGTTGATCAAGTGCCAATTGCAACTAATCCGCTTAATTGGTGAAAAGATGTTCAAAAAAATTTTCCAATTCTTGCCACTTTGGCGCGCAAATATTTGGCTACACCTTCTATGTCAACTCCCAGTGAACGCTTATTTTCAAGTGTGGGTAATTTAATGACAGCAAAACGTACATCAATTAACACCGACTTATTTGAAAGAATTCTTTTTCTTAAACAAAATACCAGTATTCTGAGCATCATATCTGAGTTACAGTTGAAATAAAGTTTATTGTGAAGGGCATCAGACACTGCTTAAATCTATTTTCCTTGATATTTCCTCCCTTACCTGTATCGAACTTTTCAAATAACTCCCTAAGTTCTGCATTTGAAATTTCATCTTTTTGAATGCGCTTGTGCTGAACAATATTATATATATATATATATATATTTTTTTTTTTTAAAAAAAAAAAAAACTTTATATTATGTATTACATTTATTTTATTAGCATTTTTATCTTATTTAGATAGAGTAAATCAAATTTGGTGGATATGACAAATTTGTTGGATCTAGTAAATTTATTGGGTCTAATAAATAAAGTGAATATATAACAAATTTGTCTTATTAAAAATATACACGATGCCATAAAGCCATAAAGGGCATTTAAATAAAAGCCGAATTTGAATACATTAGGCAGAAGTCATGCCAAATAAATCCTTGAAATAAAAGTAAATTGTTTGACGAACTTTGTCCTTGTGATCATATTAAATCTTAACCCACAAGAGAGAAAAAGAGTAAAAGTGTCATATTAATTAATCGAAAATACTATATATAATAAATTTAGCGATTAACTTGTAATCAGTATTGTCATCATTAATTTGAAACTAAATTGACCCGAATAAGAGTCAAAATCGATAATACATCAAAATCGTAAGTGTAAATAAAGAAAGTACTTATCTTCAAGACTATTTGGAAGTCTTGTAACTTCAGCAACAAGAACAAGTTCAAGAGCTCTAATAACTTGGACCAAGCCTTGATCAAACATGCTTGAAGCTTAAGTAATAGAAAAGTTCTTTCTGACTCTTAAACAGGCTTTCTATTCATACTATATATGTTACTCACATAAATATAGATTTATTTATAAAATTAAAAATCCGGATACAATTTGGATTAAAAATCGGATATTCAACAAATATCCGTTTATATATCTGAATTAGGAAATTTAAATTAGGATATATATCCAGATATCCAGTTTTATATCTGGATCCAAGCACTATATATAATAACATATATATAATTTTTAAAGTTGAATAACTTTTGATTCACTAGTCTGTTTTGGATAATTTAACTACCAAAATGTTTGTCTCAGTGAGACAAATATAACAAGCCTAAAATCATCAAAATCCAATTACAGAATCCTGAGATCGCTAAAGCTTTTATAATTTTAAAATTATAAAAAACTTTAGTGATCTTAGGATTCTGTAATTGAATTTTGATGATTTTAGGCTTGTTAGATTCGTCTCACTAAGACAAACATTTTGGTAATTAAATCATCCAAAACGGACCAGTGGATCAAAAGTTATTCAACTTTAAAAATTATATATATATTATTATAAATATATTATATATAGGGAACTGCACCATGGATTTTTGCTATTCACACCATGGTTACATGAAGATCCCTTTGATTTTGTTACAGTATTGTTTACAAACTTTTAAAACTTTGATCGAAGATATCTTGGCAACCACTTGACCAAAATCAATGAATTTTTTTTTATTTGAATTCTACAGATTTGTAGAAATCAAATAAAAAAAAGTTTATTAATTTTGATCAAGTGGTTGCCGAGATATCTTTG